AATTATGTCCCCACTGAATGCAACAAATGCCTCGTTTATAATGGGTTTTCATGTTTTTGAATCATTGCTCCGGCCGGACAGGGCATCATCACAGTATGGTAGGGGCGTAACATTTCCGTCTAACGCTTGAGATATTCGGCCAATCATAATGCACTGGATAGCTGGCCAATCACAGCAGACCTCGCTTTCAGACCGATGAGCTTTGTAAAAGCTTTGTAAAAAAGGTGGGGCATAGAGGAGAAACAATAATGTACAGTATGTGGAAAATAATGTGTTTTTTGAACCTTAAACCGCATAAACACATTGCATTACACCAAATACACAAAATAATGTTCTTTTTAGCAACATCATATGACCCCTTTAAAACATCATCTTGTTGTGATGTTGGGTGCCAGAATGGACGTAGTACAGCCTCAAATTAGAAATTTGATCGCATATCTGCTGCCACTGCCAGACAAAAAAACGACGACAGCTGTGGTTAAACGCGATAAAACAGCAGACTGGACAGAAACGATTGTCAAAAATGCTCACGTTTGCAGCAAACACTTCTTATCAGAAAAGGTTCAATAAAGTATTGTCTGTTGTTGTTATGGGCGAGTCTACAGATTTCTTGCCATATGTCTATGTTTCTTGCATCTCACGACTGTCGTGTATGAAATAATGTCTGTGTGCATGTGTGTAAAACAACAAACTGACGATTTATATATAATCATTTGTAATTGTATATACATTGTTGTGATTAATTGTGGCTGGAACAATAGTGTAGCTGTAAAAATAGTTGCCTGCTGAAATTGAAATGTATATACATCTTCTTCATGACTAGATAGACGCGGTGAGTTTGTCTTTACTATACACGTTAGATGTGATCCACCTCATAGTAATAATCCTGTCAGATAATCCATCCTTCCACTGCCAGACAAAAAAACGACGACAGCTGTGGTTAAACGCGATAAAACAGCAGACTGGACAGAAACGATTGTCAAAAATGCTCACGTTTGCAGCAAACACTTCTTATCAGAAAAGGTTCAATAAAGTATTGTCTGTTGTTGTTATGGGCGAGTCTACAGATTTCTTGCCATATGTCTATGTTTCTTGCATCTCACGACTGTCGTGTATGAAATAATGTCTGTGTGCATGTGTGTAAAACAACAAACTGACGATTTATATATAATCATTTGTAATTGTATATACATTGTTGTGATTAATTGTGGCTGGAACAATAGTGTAGCTGTAAAAATAGTTGCCTGCTGAAATTGAAATGTATATACATCTTCTTCATGACTAGATAGACGCGGTGAGTTTGTCTTTACTATACACGTTAGATGTGATCCACCTCATAGTAATAATCCTGTCAGATAATCCATCCTTTGAGTGAGAGTGTAACATTACAGGTTGGCTAATCTGGTTTTGTGGTTAAAGTTAACCTTTTCAACATGTTTCCCTGTTGTTGTTGCTCAGCAATGCCATGGATGCGATGTTGTCTGGGGGGTTTGGCAAAAGGAGAGTGGGACAGTGGGCAGTGCTTGGGGTGGTGACTGAAGGCGGTGACTGTGTAGTTCTGATGTCAATTTTTTTTACGGAAGTCACAACGGTTCATGAAAAATCACAGCTACTTTATGCAGGCTATGTGAATTTTACTGTGGACTGACTGTTTTGAAACTTATATGGTAGTTAAATAGCCCCTAGACCTCAGTTATCGTGAAAAAAGCCAGGAAATGTCAGTTTTGACAATATGGGACCTTTAACGGCACAATATGTAATTTTCGCCACCAGAAGGGCGCGTATTCAAAATAAACAAATAGACAAAGGTGTAGTTTGATGAGTGTGGAATCATGGGAGTTGTCGTCTTCATCTCCACAGCCGATGCAATCCGATGGGACTCGGGCAGAAATCATGTTCATGGATGAGCTAATGATTTATTAACGTAATAGAATGAAGCAGGGTGAGGCTGAAAGCCGTCGAAGCGAAACGATGCAGCTGAACAAGCGTGACACACGGCTCGAAAGCAGCGGAGGTTCATATACATTGTTGTAAGTGGAGAGACTCTCGCCCCTGCTTTGTTCATGTCATGAACGAATTTGAACTATTCTACTCCTCACTGAGATTACTTAATAATTGTTGTGCCCCGAAAATATCATCGGACATGTCCAAGTTTCTTGTGTTTTAAATTAAAACATTTTTTTTGGCTTACATGTATTGTGGATACCCTTAAGGTTTGATGCTGATTGTTATTGTATTTGGTTTTATTCTATGCTGTTACCTCTATGAGTTTTTGTATTCTATGTTTAATAAATTAAAAATAAAAAATAAAAAATGAAAACAGCTGAGCTTTTATTATGCCACAGTCGACCGCTTCCGCTCTTTCCGGTTGTGCGTATGTAGGTAAAAAAAGCAGCGCTGTTTTATCATACTAGATACATTTGAAAGTTCTGTTATAATTCTACTCTGTGCGGTTGTCACCGGTCTATTAAAACTCACAACATATTAAAGCGTCTTTGGTGTTTCCATGTTTTATACAAAACAAAACCGGAAATGGAGGGGTTGTGACGTCATTGGCGGGCGACACAATGACACTATAGACACGGTCCGTGTCACTAGTTAAAATTGCTTATTTCTCTGGATTTAAACATTCTTCTAAACATTTGGGATACTGTAAGTACACAAGTCAGCAAAATATATAACACTGTGCTAGTGGTTTTTGGACATTTTAATAAAAAAAAGTGTTCCTGTGGCTCAGTGGTAGAGCATTGCGTTAGCAGCGCAAAAGGTCGTGGGTTCAATTCCCAGGGAACACTCATACTGGTAAAAAATGTATAGCCTGAATGCACTGTAAGTCGCTTTGGATAAAAGAGTCTGCTAAACACTTACATTTAATTTTAATTTTAAAAAAATGACATATTGTGCCTTTAAATGTAAACAATTTAAAAACTGAAGACGTTTTAAGGACCCGCGGAAACCCTAATAAGAACATAGTTCAGTGCAAACATTTCTGTTATGCATTTGGCAAAAAGCTTTTGTTGACTGAATTTTACCTTTGAAATTTAGGCAAGTGCAACTCTGGCGTCCCCGTTGTTTGTGCGCAGTGATGTGATGGCGATTTAAATAAAATACAGATTTCCAAACATATAGTATCCCCTTGAACTTGGTAAAAATATAATCTGTTTACCTTCTTGACTGGAAAATACTGTTTTCATGATCAGTTTTCACTTATTATTTGCTAATGCTAGTGCATGTTTACATTAGAGTGCACGTCCTACTACGCTGAAATTAATACGGGGAGCGGCTGGAAACTAGCGAACTCTCCTGGTTGGAGATAGTATTA